CTAGTCATTTGAAATCAGATGTTTCGAATTGCAAGATGCTACCAAAGTTGCACTGATATGAAAAGAGAGAGACAGGAAATGACACAAGAGGGCTATGGCCATTGGTGAAATATCCCGATTAGAGGTCATTATACAAAAATATTTTACTCTTCTATGCCACGTTTGACCTATTAGATTCAGGTATTCCAGTGGACCATGTACTAAGCAGGGGAATTTTTTCATTCAGCTGTTTATGGATTAATCCTAGACATAATATTGCACAGAGCGATTTAAATGTTGACTTCACATGACTGAGTAACCCATAAAGTGCTGTTTCACTAACAAGTCCTTGACACTTGGAAATACAGCCCAGTATTAAATCAGAATGTGTCTGGACGCAATCAATAAGGCTGATTTGCACAGGACTATAAACAGTGACCCACTGATGATATGACATATTGAGATCAAGGCGACAGTGATAAAATGCACAGAGCAGCCAGCTTGAAATGCCAAAGGTGTAGGAGAAGCAAATAGGGCTTTATTTATTTACATGCACAGTTAGCCATCAACAAACAGCCGCTGAGGCATCATGCAGTGCACTGAGGCAACAAAAGTGCGCTCGTTTTAATCACTTCGCCAACATGCGCAGGTCAAAGACAAACAAGGATGTTTAAGGTTATAAAAAGGAGAAATCTTTTCAAAATCTAGTTTGAAACACGTTAACAAAGTTCTTATAGAGCAAGCAATCTTTGTATCCATTCTGGTTTTATACATTTTCTTTAAGAACCTTTATACCATTTGCTACAAAACTAGTTTGATTTCATTATTCTAATGATTCATGCGGTGTACCCAAGAAAAAAAAATGCTAAAATACGTTTCTTACTCATTAAATTCAAGTCTAAAAGGGTCTAAAAGAGACCTCTACGTTTTATGGTTGTCTTGTCACATGAGAACAAAATGGCTTCCTGCATGTCTGTTACGCCACACAGACTTTGTTTGGCAGAAAAACGTTTTTCAAATATGAATAATATTTAAAAACAAAGTATATTCAGGATTAGATTAGGCCAAATTATTTCAACATTTCTTTTTTCCAAAAAAATACACCACACAACTAGAAGATTATTATCCACTACCTCGCTTAGTTGGGGACGCTTGACTGAATGCACAGAATCATCAATGAACTGACTTCAGCATTATTGACAAACTATTTTCCTGTTTGACACTGTAAAGCTGCTTTGACACAATCAGTATTGTATAAAGCGCTATACAAATAAAGGTGACTTGACTTGACTTGATTTACCTAAACCCACTAACACCCAGGGAAAAGATATAATCTATACCAATGATAAACATTTAAATCAGATCATTTAGACCGAATTAGATAGTGAAGCAATAAAAACCTGAGAAGAATTATTAATGTAGACTAACTGGTAACTAATCAGTCAGAGCATGAGATAACAGCAATAAAGGTTAATTCAGTTAAAGTGTGATTTTGTCTTATAAAAGTGTCTACGCTTCAATGTTTGGGACTTAATATCATCCTTCTTTGCAACTAAGCTTCAAATCCAATTTTGAGTGATCCTGGTGATGAGGAGAACAGTCAAGCGCACAGGATGATGGAGAACATCCACTGCATACAAAAGAGAGGTTCCTACCAACAGAAGAGCACCAGATTTATAACGCTTCATGTATAACACATCAGAATACGACAAGAAACAGTTTTGTTTAGCCTATTACGATCACATTTCTCAAAGTAACATATTTAGGGGTGCATGAGTCAACATTCTGAAGTCAGCCAGCAAACCAATTTCGTTCCCAGGATAAGTTACCGGAGAGGACGGAATGCAGCATACTGACACAAGGCTGCCAAGCTCGCTAATACAAACGACTGATCATACAAAAGCGTCTGAGAAAAATCGTACACGCCAGGAAGACAGCAGCGCAAGCTGAAGTTCAGTTAGGAAAAGCCACGCTGGCACGAGAAGAGACTTGTGGCGCGCTCAGTACCTCAATGAACGAATTAAAATTTCCGTCACGTTCAACAGAAAGTTCAGGCTTAAGGCTGGGGAGGGGTGGACTGGAGTTAACCCTGAAACAGACGGAGAATATACGTCTCGTTTTGCTTATACGTGTATCTAAAATCACTCGTGGACCCTACGCGTTCAGCACCACCTGAAATGCACTTTGTGGACCTGTTTGCTAATGTTTCCCGGCAAGTTAAAGCCGTTTATCAAATGTCAAACAGTTCAGGGGAGCGAATACGCCTTCTATCAACTCTAATCTGCACGCTTCCGACTTTAAAATACAATGCACTGAAGAAAGCCATCCGTGATTCAGCGCGTCTGTCCGAGACCGTGCTTACCGATGTGAATAATGGAGTCCGCGCGAGCTGAGCGGCACTGCAGGATCCATAAGGAGAGGCTGATCACGAGCAACTCCATCTCCAGTTCTCGCCCCGATGTATCATCCACGCGTCTACGTCGTTTCAAAAATCCAGTTCCAGAGAGAAAAAGAGCGTCCGCGAGAACGACCACTGTGGAGGAGATCAGGGATGCGTCACTTCTATCTTTCTCCGAGATCTATTCAAATTGAAAGTGAGAGAAGATGTTCGCGGGGATAAGGAAGCTCTCAAGGGAAGGAAAGCAGAAAAGGAGGGGTAGGAGAGCAAGGGAAACGACGGGGGTACCACGGTCAGAGGCAAAGCAACGGGTCCGTGCGCTTCAGCTCTCAGTGTGGTTTGGATACTGCTAACTGCAGCGCAGAGAGAGACCTCTCTCTCTCTCTCTCTCTTTCTCACTCACTCACTCTCTCTCTCATAGCTTAGCAGTCTTTCGCGTTTCGCTCCACGTGATCGAAGAATCGAAAGATCGGAACGGTACGGTAAAAACCTAGGAGAAATTAAATCTGCGCGCACCGGAGAGAGTCCCCAGAGCGGAGTGGCGGCGGGAGGTCTAGCTCAGCCCTGAGAGCGTGAAGTTCGGGCCGAGCACCGGGAAGGAGACATCTCTTCCAACATTAGATACTAAGCTATGTTTTTTAATTGAGAGGCTGGTTTTGAACTCAGGGCTGCTGCTGATACGGACGGTTCAGATGTACCACAGAAGTTCGCCGCGCCGATATAGCGACTCCAGAAGTGAGAAGAGCGACCGCGAAGAGTGACCTCCGTTTCTCGGTGGATATTTTGCCCGGTAACGTTAGTGTCTATAGACCCCGCTAGCACCCTGAAAAAGAAAAGAAACGGAGTCTGTAGCAACCGCGGAACGAAGGAAAACAAGCGGGTGTTTGACACTGAATGACTGACTGACTGACTAACGTCGAATCTATACTATGGCGTAAGTTACACGAATTTTTACAACAACAAAAAAACATTACACAGATGAGGTGAGTCGTTTAAACGATTCTGGCGTCTCGTGGAATTAATTATTTATCTCCATCACAGAGAAAAAAAACACGTAAATGGGACTCGAGTCACGTTTTTTGTAGAAATGTTCCTGAATAGTTTTCTGACATTTTTCTCTATGTAGGATGGAAAATGATAACCTTCACCTTACAATTAAAGGATATTTCTTGAGACGACACTAACAGAAATATCTCTTAATTGTTTGGTGAAGGCTATCAGGTCGTCAACTCGGATCAGTCGGACGTGGACAGCGCCACAGCGCCCCTCTGGTCAATCGAAAGAACTGCCTGTCGCGAGGCGTTCTGAGAACTCTACAGATTAGAGATTAGCCTAGTTCTGCTTCATAAAATGAGCAGAATGTAAACTTTTGAATGCAGTGAATGTATTATAAGTTAATTGACTTGTTTTTTGCCAAATGTTTATTTACTTTTCATTTCAGTTTCGTTTCCACAGGTAAACGTTAATCATTAAAAAAAATATTTTTAATTAATTAAAATCTTAATATTAGTTCATTTTGCTTCACATGAAATACAATATTAGCTAAGTGAAAGAAAATGATAATTAACAAACCAAATCTTAACATTTTCACTCTCACAGATTTAATCTTCAATGTGCTGAATCCATCATATAAAAAATGCGATATGATATATACAAAAAAATTTTTTTTGCATAATATATAATAATATAATTTCAATTCATCCCTCTTTTTTATAATGTAAGTAACCATGGCAAATACATGTCATATGTGTTAACATGGAATTAATGTGATAGAATCCCTTACTAACCATATATCCAGTCTTTAAACTTCATTGTAATGACAGTGTAATGGCAGTAACTTGCATGATGTTCTCATAAGCATGCTGAGAAGAAAGGTAACTTCCTTATTTACATGGAGAAGAGCAGGTCTTGAATCAGCAGAAGGACATCAGCTCATCTCCTTTTTGTTATCTACACACATTTGTAAAATCTGATGACAAAAACAAGACCTGCTACATCTTTACCTGACACCGGTTGGGTGACTACCTCTGTTGATGTACTGGAAACAAGCGCGGGAATTACGTCAGTGTGGAATAATCTGGATAAAACTTTTGTCCCACTGCAAATATAACAAATTACATGTGAAATACATAAACATTTGGGGTCAGTAAGATCGGTAAAGATGCATTAAATTGGTCAAAAGTGACAGTAAAGACATTTATAATGTTATAAAAGATTTCTATGTCAAATAAATGCTGTTCCTTTGAACTTTCAAAGAATCCTGAAAAAAAAATGAATCATGTTTTCCACAGACATATTAAGCAGCACGACTGCTTTCAAAATTGATAATAAGCAATGTTTCTTGAGCTCCAAATCAGCATATCAGAATGATTTCTGAAGGATCATGTGACATGAAGACTGGAGTAACGGCTGCTGAAAATTCCGTTTTTTGCATCACAGCAATAAATCACATTTTAAAAAATATTAAAAATAGATGGCACTGTTTATTTCTAAATGCTTTACACAATCCTGATTTTTGCTGTGGAATGTCAAAAGTTTCTGTGGTAATCAAAAAGCAACAAAAGCAGTCGATTGAGCTTAACTTGTATTGAATCTGGAACATTCCTTTTTCAGTTATACCGGCCTTACTAAAAAGTACAGCATTTTACATCAATGAATAAATTAAAATTACAATGCAATTTTCTGAAGAAAAGAGTATATTTTTAATACATTTAATACTACGTCTTTTTCACCTGGGAGCTTTTCAACCCAATGTAGAAAATCACTCTCTCTCTCTCTCTCTCTCTTAATCTAATCAGCACCTAATGCTTGTGCAGGTGGATATGTGGTTGTAATCTGAACTAATGATAATGAATAGCTTGCCTGACTATGTGGTAAGTACTGAATCTGAATCAGCACTGCTCATAGTTAAAGTGACAACTTATTTGGTGAATACTAGACTCATGCCTCAGGGCCTCGGAAGAGGGGATGGAGAAAAGGGCAAAGAGCAGAGACCAAAAATACACCCACCAAAAGACTTTTATGAATTAGTTAAATTCCAAATTTAGATGTGTGAAATGTTATGTTAATGATCCAAAGGAATATGATCATTGTAAATACTGAGAGAATGAGCACTGCTCATAGTTAAAGTGCCCCCCCCCCCCCATCCTCAAGCCTGTAGGTTGGATTAGTGTGCTAATCTCTGTTTGGGCTCTGCAGGCTACATAATCCAGTTAGACTCTGGGTGTTAACGTAACAAGATAGAACAGCTCGTGTCACAACTTATTTGGTGAATACTAGACTCATGCCTCAGGGCCTCGGAAGAGGGGATGGAGAAAAGGGCAAAGAGCAGAGACCAGTTAAAAATACACCAAAAGACTTTTATGAATTAGTTAAATTCCAAATTTAGATGTGTGAAATGTTATGTTAATGATCCAAAGGAATATGATCATTGTAAATACTGAGAGAATGAACAGCTTAAGCTGCGGTCATGTTTACCGTTGTTAGGCAAAATCACGCAATCGGATTTTCGCTTGAGGGTGAAAGATTTCCCCACATATATTTCACGACCAGTTCAAGTTGGTCACACCGCATTGACCCACAGAAAGCTGCTGCATGTGAAAGTAACTTCTGTGTGAGCAGTGCTTCATACACAACAGACAACATACCTTTTTTGAGCGGATTCTGACTGGTTGTCAGTGTTTTTTGAACAAATATTACTTGGAAAGTGATTCCAACTATCTCAATGTCGTTCCCCTGTGCCAATCATTATAGTTGTGGTGTGAACTAAATTTAGAATAATTTTCAAAACTATACATTTACTGTTATCATTGTAGTTATCGTCCTTGGTGTGAATGGGCCTTTAGACTGGACACGCTAGATTTATAAATCACAAAACCACAATTTCAGATCACTCACCAGCCACATCTGTTTCTTCACCCTCTCAGATGTATGTGAAACCAGGCATACTCTCCTTCAAGCAGTTCAAAATCAACCTGAAGGATGTACGAATCGTTAAGATGATCAAACCATGACAATCAGACAGCATCAAAAGGACAACAAGGGCAACTAGGCCAGTCTTAGAAGCTTAGATCAACACCTCAGATTCATACCCAATACAAGGGACATGAGAAAACAAGCTGCGAGGATGAAAAGAAACTGAGAATATAGAGGAGATGAGGGGTGTTAAGATGCTGTCCTACCACTTGTCAGAGATTTTATGAGCCGTGACATGTACATAATTAAAGCTGATCAAAGGGGAGCAGACATGTTTGGTGCCCCCAAGCTCCCCTCCAGCTGTAGCCTCATTAGTGGACTACCATTATGAGAGGATGAAAATATTACAGTGCATATTACCATTACACAAATACACAAGGTTCTTAAACAGTGCAATAAACAGTCACAAAATGCTAATTAAAATTGAATTTCAGTCAGACGGTGGCTAAATTTTAACATCTGGAGTCCTATTTGGGGCAAAGACATCACTTGCGGTCAGAGAGAACAGAAAATCAAAACAGTGGAACACAGATTACTGCGAATTACAAAGAACACAACAACAAAAACACCAGCATTGCTTAATATAACCTTCTGCAACAATGTGGCCAAACAATGAATTCATCCCATTGAATTCATTGTCCGAACCACTGATTATGTTAATTATATGCTTGACAACATTTGTTTAATTAAGCTCATTATTTTTACCATCTCATCACGCAATCTGTAAAATAACACCACATTTCCTGGTTTCACATGAGTAAAAAAAACATCTTTAAGTAAAGAAACACAGTTTAAATAAGCTTCAAATTAATACACTGTGATAAGATTCTAACTCACAGATAAGTGTCATTGATGGCCATTATTTGATTTCAGTTAGACTGGGAATGAAAATGAATAGTAACCCCATGCCTACTACAAGTCGCACTGGATAAAAGCAACTGCAAAATGACAAATTAGTAATTAGTAACGGGGGTAAGCAACAGACAACCAAGATTAAGTAATTCCAAACGCACTTGAGTTCTGTGGAGTCTGTTTAACAGGAAGCCTGTCAGCTCTTGTTAGGATACTAACCGCACCAGCACAGTGGTTCATCCATGAACGAGGCGAGCCGGTGGAGTGCGTGAGCAGAGCGGAAATTGTTGTCTCATGTGCTCCAGTCAATGACCGTTCAGCACTCGAGCAGCTGTTCGAAAAAGAACGCATAGTTCCTCTTTGTGTCTTCTTCAAACGGTAGTGTGAAGTTGTTATTTAGATGAAGAGAGTCTGTCATTTCAAGCTCTCAAGGTTTTCTGGAGAGAGTAAATAAGACCTGGCATTTGAATAGATCAAACATGCATGAACACCCGCCGCCAGGTACCAGGGCCATTTTTCCAAATGATATATCAAGAATTTATTTATTCCAGCAAATGAGTGCTGCCGTGTGCATCCAAACGTCTTGACGCACAAAAGCTGCAAACAACCATTAATTATCATGAAGGTGAACTTTTCAGAAACAATGTCAGAATCTTTATTCATTCTTTGAATGTCTCTGTCTGAAGCTACTCTGAATGCCTTTCCCTCTATCTCATTAGAATGTGCCATGTTCTTAGTCTCTGAAGCACATACTGTAAGTTTCATATTGTACTGGAGTGCTACAACTAGTAACTAAATTACTAAAACTCAAGTTTCAACTCAACATTCTCAATCACTACTACAACAAAGAAGAACAAAAATAAATGAAAATAGAAAGATAGAAGTGCACCATTCACAAGAGAAAAATGGGCCAAAATCATCCATGGACAGCTCACATGAATAGAATACTGTATTTTATATGCATATCTGTTTGAAAACTTACCTTATATGTTCTGTCATATTTAGATGGATGAGATGAAAAATGAGATGGTTAAACAAAATTGTTTAAATTGAGATGCTCTGGTTGTAAAAGATAAATTGAGACGCAACTGTTCATTAAACTGAACAGAAAGTGTTCCAGAACAGAAAACAATTATTATTCTAACTCTTAAATGCATACAGTATTTCTGTCCTTCAGATTTTTTTTTTTTTTTTTGATAGCTTCTTTAGAAAACAATGGAGTCTTAAATGAAATTTGCGAAAGCACACTAAGAGATACAAATCAATGGCAACGTCATTATTTTGTATTTGTGGTGCAGTGATTTTGGTGTGGAACCCATAAACACTCAAAATTACAAAAAGGTTTGCAAAAAAAGGATCAAAAGCCATAAACAAACAGCACAAGTGAGGCAATGTTTTGTCCACTCGTGTTTTCACCTTCAGTTTGATTTCTCTGCAGAATAGTGCGGATAGATGAGTTCATGTGAGGCACCAAACACATCATTTGGAAGTAGCAGCAGCCAACCTTAAAACCCTCCCTGTCAGAAATGAAGTGCGTGCAGAGCACACAGAGGTGGCTCACCTGTACTGTCAGAGTACGTAACAGAATCTGACAGAGATCAGATTCATGCCCATCTGTCCTTATGAAACTGAACCCATACTCATAGCCAGTGCTTTTTCTTCCTTAAAGGAACATATATAGTCTCCACAGACACAGGAGTATAATCATTGGACTAATTATCGTTTATTTTCCACCAAAACGACATCTAATGAATTAAAATGAGCTCTTCTAATAGCTCAGTGAGGCTTTGAGAGTTTCTTTGACTAATTTCTAATGTCTAATGTAAGAGACTAATTAGTCATCTCAGTCTGGGACGAAGCCAGGCCTGCAGCTAAACACAAGCACATCAATAGGTCAAACTGAAATGGATCAGTGCTTTGACAGTAAGTGTATAAGTAAGCAGTATTAATTAATTTTTCGGCCTTAGATTTTTAGCTTATTTGGTAATTTTTCTTATTTCTTTTTTTTTTGGTCAGCCAACTTGAGAAAAATTACATGAAATATAAATCAAAATACAAAAACATGAAAAAAAGTTCACACTGCATTTTTGAGTGGGCTAACTTAAGAACACAGCTACTTAAGACTAGTACTCAAAAGTTTTTTTATATATATTTTACAATATATTTTTTAATAAGCAATAATTCCAACACATACGATATATTTACTTAAGCTTACCTAACAATACTTCCATCATCTATCTTCCATCCCAGCTCCCTGCAGTATTCTTAAGAGTTTATGTCCGTATTGGGCCCATCAAGCGATGAATCATGTTCTCCCATTGTGGACATGCCACACCTGTCAATCTTTTCCCCATTCTTCTTCCACATTAACACATGCGTGAGATGTTGCAATGAGATAAACCTTTCTGTCTCGCACGCGAGGATTGATTTACATTCCGAGATGCAAGGCACATCTGGTGGAAGATCTCGCAGGGAAACATAACCTTGATGCGTGGATGTCAGCGACTACATGTTTGTAATCATCTTTATCGCCCCTTCTCCTTCTTTTCCCCTTTTGATGTCTCTAAAACTCATCAACCTGCTGATTCTGCCCTTACTGTGCACACTAATTTCATTTCATGTTTGTCTTTAAACATGCTTTCTTTTCTCCCCTTCCCTCTTTCTCTTTTTACACAGACAGAACCCCAACAGCGAGAGGAAGAGGACAGTATTTCATCTCTATTGTTGCTCAGGCTCCCAGCATGCATCTAAATAAAATAACAGTTGAAGACATACAGAAGAGGATGGCTGTGGCTACAGTTTTGCAGGCAGTGTGAGATGAGGCACACCTGACACTAATAGCACCTTGTCACTGCCGCCACTGCTGTTCTATATTCAGTAAGAACCGGATACATTCCAATACATTTCTACATTCCTGCACGCTTGAGTATGTGGCAACTGCCAAATACACATGGCAGACAGAGTTTATGACATGCTTCAGGTTATGACTGTTTATGAGCTAATTTAGACTTTATGGCATGTCATTTCATGCATATTGTAAGTAAACTGCAACCTAAAGCAGGCCGCATTCAGTTTGAGCGGGAAGCTAGAATGAAGCCCCTTCACTTCATTAATTCACCATGGAAACTCGGGCAAGAAGAGAAGAAAGCGAAGAAAAAAACAAAAGCTAAGTCTTTGTTTACAATGGCAAACTGCTGTTTTATCTCTGTTAAAACTGTTCTGAACTGAACACTGAGGCAAGACTCCTCTACATTATTGATGAGGTTTTTGCTATTTCCAAAGGAAGCACATGAAAAAAACAGTTTCAGTGATCCCAAACTCACTTTTACATTTCTGGGGATAAAATGTTCTCATATTTTGTAAGCAGAACGCGCTTTGGACTCTGATGTTTGTGATTTTCAAAAATCATAAATGGAGCTTTCTTCTCGTTTAATGAGAGCTGAAGTCTATAGAGAGTGAGCTACCTTCACAACCTGCTCATTTTTTCTGCATCTCTCTGAGGCCATGTCTCACTTTTCAAACAGTCCAGGGGCTGTTTTTACCAAAAAGTGCTAGACCGAAAACCTGAAAAATTTGTTAACTGGGAGTTACCTTGAAACGATGAAAAATATAGTTTATGGGCAAGACATGTAATTATACTGTACATTGCTGCAGAAAGTGCCAAGTATGATTTCTCTTATAATTATCTTATTATATTCTTATCTTATTATATTTTGTCGTAAAAACATTTAATATATGCTGTTCATTTTATTATATCCATATATATATATGTTTGGAATAGTAAAAAAATGTAAAAAAATAAAAATAAAAAATTATGAAAAATGTCTCTTGCTCACCAAAGCTGCATTTATTTGTTTAAATAAACAGTAAAAGCAGTAATATTTTGAACTATTATTACAACTGAAAATATATGTTTCCTATTTTAATATATTATAAAATGTAATTAATTCCAGTGATGGCAAAGCTGTCTTTTCAGCAGCCATTACTCCAGTCTTCAGTGTCACGTGATCCTTCAGAAATCATTCTAATGCTGATTTGGTGCACAATAAATATTTCTTATTACTATCAATGTTGAAAACAGTTGTTCTGCTAAATATTTTTGTTGAAACCATGATACAGTAGCCTACCATTCAAAAGAGTTAAGCATTCAAAATTAAAAGAGATACTAATATACTAATAATAAAATTAAATAAACAACAACAAAGATAAAATTCTATTAAGCTAGGATGCATTAAATTGATCAAAAGTGACAGTAAACACAATTATAATGTTAGAAAAGATTTCCTTTACAAATAAATGCTGTTCTTTTGAACTTTCTATTCATCATTGAATTAGTTTATATTGTTACAGAAGCAAAAACTGTTTCCCACATTGAATTCAAATAGGTTAGTATATTAACAATAGTCAATGAAATACACAGCTGTGACTTGTAAAACATAGAGTACACCATCCTATAATGCCTGAAACATTGTCAACGTATCTGTTATGGTTAATTTCTGGCAACAAGTTACCCGTTTATTTTTACAGCAAATTTCACAAGATTTTTCCCGGGGTTTATTCATGCTTTCCTTCACTCTCTCATCGTATTTGATCCTCTCCCTGTAAATGTGAGGCTGCTGTTTGGACATTTCTTTTGCTCCGCTCTAATGAGTGTGAAATGAAAATTACACTGAGTGTGATTGATGTATGCGTGACATCAAAACTGTGCAGCTACAGAGGAGAGAAAACGTGTAATCAGATCACCCAGTCACTAAAGTAAGAGAGAGATGTTTTCCTAAAGAAACTTTTTAATGAATTATAACATTGACCTACATAAACACTAAAATATAAATGTTTGATTTTACTTGCACACTCAGTGCAACCAAAACTATACTGTACATTACATTTGTCAGAAACACACCGACTGAGATAAGTGTTAAAAGGCCACATATATTACCCATATAAACCCATACATATATATATATATATATATAATAATAATAATGCATTTTATTTAATGGCGCCTTTCAAAACACCCAAGGTCACCTCACAAGCAAGCAAAGATAAAAATAAATACAAATCACTACACAATAAAAAACACACAACAAACACTCCACATATACAGATAAAGTGCAGTAAAGACTCAATAAAACATTATAAGAAAGCCTGTATAAAAAGATATGTCTTAAGACGCGTTTTAAAAGTCAGCAGGCAATCGCTGTTGCGAATATCAGGTGGAAGTGAGTTCCATAGGCGGGGGGCAGCATAGCTAAAAGATCTGGCACCCATGGTAGTTAGTCGAATCCGAGGTACCACAAGAGAAATTAAAGATGAGGATCTGAGAGCACGTGAAGGAGTGTAAACATGAAGAAGTTGAGTAAGGTATTGGGGTGCAAGATTATGAAGTGCCTTGTAAGTAAGTAGCAAGATCTTGAATTCAACTCGATACTTTACTGGAAGCCAGTGCAATTGCTGAAGAACTGGAGAAATGTGCTCAGTAGAGGGTGTTCTAGAAAGAACACGAGCTGCAGAATTCTGGACCAACTGGAGCTTACGTAGCAATTTAGAGGGAACACCAGTGAGAAGGGCATTACAGTAGTCTATACGTGAAGTGACTAGTGCGTGAACAAGAACTGCTGTATTATTGGTTGAGAGAAAAGGACGGAGACGGTGATTTTTAGCTTATTTGGTAATTTTTCTTATTTCTTTTTTTTTTGGTCAGCCAACTTGAGAAAAATTACATGAAATATAAATCAAAATACAAAAACATGAAAAAAAGTTCACACTGCATTTTTGAGTGGGCTAACTTAAGAACACAGCTACTTAAGACTAGTACTCAAAAGTTTTTTTATATATATTTTACAATATATTTTTTAATAAGCAATAATTCCAACACATACGATATATTTACTTAAGCTTACCTAACAATACTTCCATCATCTATCTTCCATCCCAGCTCCCTGCAGTATTCTTAAGAGTTTATGTCCGTATTGGGCCCATCAAGCGATGAATCATGTTCTCCCATTGTGGACATGCCACACCTGTCAATCTTTTCCCCATTCTTCTTCCACATTAACACATGCGTGAGATGTTGCAATGAGATAAACCTTTCTGTCTCGCACGCGAGGATTGATTTACATTCCGAGATGCAAGGCACATCTGGTGGAAGATCTCGCAGGGAAACATAACCTTGATGCGTGGATGTCAGCGACTACATGTTTGTAATCATCTTTATCGCCCCTTCTCCTTCTTTTCCCCTTTTGATGTCTCTAAAACTCATCAACCTGCTGATTCTGCCCTTACTGTGCACACTAATTTCATTTCATGTTTGTCTTTAAACATGCTTTCTTTTCTCCCCTTCCCTCTTTCTCTTTTTACACAGACAGAACCCCAACAGCGAGAGGAAGAGGACAGTATTTCATCTCTATTGTTGCTCAGGCTCCCAGCATGCATCTAAATAAAATAACAGTTGAAGACATACAGAAGAGGATGGCTGTGGCTACAGTTTTGCAGGCAGTGTGAGATGAGGCACACCTGACACTAATAGCACCTTGTCACTGCCGCCACTGCTGTTCTATATTCAGTAAGAACCGGATACATTCCAATACATTTCTACATTCCTGCACGCTTGAGTATGTGGCAACTGCCAAATACACATGGCAGACAGAGTTTATGACATGCTTCAGGTTATGACTGTTTATGAGCTAATTTAGACTTTATGGCATGTCATTTCATGCATATTGTAAGTAAACTGCAACCTAAAGCAGGCCGCATTCAGTTTGAGCGGGAAGCTAGAATGAAGCCCCTTCACTTCATTAATTCACCATGGAAACTCGGGCAAGAAGAGAAGAAAGCGAAGAAAAAAACAAAAGCTAAGTCTTTGTTTACAATGGCAAACTGCTGTTTTATCTCTGTTAAAACTGTTCTGAACTGAACACTGAGGCAAGACTCCTCTACATTATTGATGAGGTTTTTGCTATTTCCAAAGGAAGCACATGAAAAAAACAGTTTCAGTGATCCCAAACTCACTTTTACATTTCTGGGGATAAAATGTTCTCATATTTTGTAAGCAGAACGCGCTTTGGACTCTGATGTTTGTGATTTTCAAAAATCATAAATGGAGCTTTCTTCTCGTTTAATGAGAGCTGAAGTCTATAGAGAGTGAGCTACCTTCACAACCTGCTCATTTTTTCTGCATCTCTCTGAGGCCATGTCTCACTTTTCAAACAGTCCAGGGGCTGTTTTTACCAAAAAGTGCTAGACCGAAAACCTGAAAAATTTGTTAACTGGGAGTTACCTTGAAACGATGAAAAATATAGTTTATGGGCAAGACATGTAATTATACTGTACATTGCTGCAGAAAGTGCCAAGTATGATTTCTCTTATAATTATCTTATTATATTCTTATCTTATTATATTTTGTCGTAAAAACATTTAATATATGCTGTTCATTTTATTATATCCATATATATATATGTTTGGAATAGTAAAAAAATGTAAAAAAATAAAAATAAAAAATTATGAAAAATGTCTCTTGCTCACCAAAGCTGCATTTATTTGTTTAAATAAACAGTAAAAGCAGTAATATTTTGAACTATTATTACAACTGAAAATATATGTTTCCTATTTTAATATATTATAAAATGTAATTAATTCCAGTGATGGCAAAGCTGTCTTTTCAGCAGCCATTACTCCAGTCTTCAGTGTCACGTGATCCTTCAGAAATCATTCTAATGCTGATTTGGTGCACAATAAATATTTCTTATTACTATCAATGTTGAAAACAGTTGTTCTGCTAAATATTTTTGTTGAAACCATGATACAGTAGCCTACCATTCAAAAGAGTTAAGCATTCAAAATTAAAAGAGATACTAATATACTAATAATAAAATTAAATAAACAACAACAAAGATAAAATTCTATTAAGCTAGGATGCATTAAATTGATCAAAAGTGACAGTAAACACAATTATAATGTTAGAAAAGATTTCCTTTACAAATAAATGCTGTTCTTTTGAACTTTCTATTCATCATTGAATTAGTTTATATTGTTACAGAAGCAAAAACTGTTTCCCACATTGAATTCAAATAGGTTAGTATATTAACAATAGTCAATGAAATACACAGCTGTGACTTGTAAAACATAGAGTACACCATCCTATAATGCCTGAAACATTGTCAACGTATCTGTTATGGTTAATTTCTGGCAACAAGTTACCCGTTTATTTTTACAGCAAATTTCACAAGATTTTTCCCGGGGTTTATTCATGCTTTCCTTCACTCTCTCATCGTATTTGATCCTCTCCCTGTAAATGTGAGGCTGCTGTTTGGACATTTCTTTTGCTCCGCTCTAATGAGTGTGAAATGAAAATTACACTCAGTGTGATTGATGTATGCGTGACATCAAAACTGTGCAGCTACAGAGGAGAGAAAACGTGTAATCAGATCACCCAGTCACTAAAGTAAGAGAGAGATGTTTTCCTAAAGAAACTTTTTAATGAATTATAACATTGACCTACATAAACACTAAAATATAAATGTTTGATTTTACTTGCACACTCAGTGCAACCAAAACTATACTGTACATTACATTTGTCAGAAACACACCGACTGAGATAAGTGTTAAAAGGCCACATATATTACCCATATAAACCCATACATATATATATATATATATATAATAATAATAATGCATTTTATTTAATGGCGCCTTTCAAAACACCCAAGGTCACCTCACAAGCAAGCAAAGATAAAAATAAATACAAATCACTACACAATAAAAAACACACAACAAACACTCCACATATACAGATAAAGTGCAGTAAAGACTCAATAAAACATTATAAGAAAGCCTGTATAAAAAGATATGTCTTAAGACGCGTTTTAAAAGTCAGCAGGCAATCGCTGTTGCGAATATCAGGTGGAAGTGAGTTCCATAGGCGGGGGGCAGCATAGCTAAAAGATCTGGCACCCATGGTAGTTAGTCGAATCCGAGGTACCACAAGAGAAATTAAAGATGAGGATTATATATATATATATATATATATATATACACACACAACAATGACTCATATGAGTATTTAGTTATAGATAAACATATTGGACAAGACACAAACAAATTTGACTTTTCCTCTCTGTTTCCGGTGGCGCAGAATGAATACATCCTGCTCTGTATATTTCCTATAGATTATTTTAATAGTGTGTGGCTGCAGATTTCAAAACAGCGCACACACAAACACACACACACACAAGCACATGCTTGTACCATATGGCCAAGACAGCATATTGCCTCCCAAACGTTTTAGTAAATGTATGACATTGCAGACTGATACAAAGATACAAAACTTTTTAAATCTTTTTAAAAACAGTTACTTTTTAAATCTGGACAGGGCTTGCTTGTTTGTTTTTAAAATAAAAAAAAAGTTATATTTTTGGCAAATATAAAAGCCTTTTCACACCAAAAGTGAAATGAATAAGTCTCAGGCTGAAGGAAATGTAAATGTCGTTACTTTTAAAATCTGGACAGGGCTTGCTTGTTTGTTTTTAAAATAAAAAAGTTATATTTTTGGCAAATATAAAAGCCTTTTCACACCAAAAGTGAAATGAATAAGTCTCAGGCTGAAGGAAATGTAAATGTACGTCCGTACAGTAGAATGCGGAAGAAGAAATTTCAACACACTTCAGCAATAAAAAAGAGACACAAATGTTTGTTTTGAGTAATTTTTGCTTATTAGTATGGTTGAACTGGATCATCGAAGGTCAGAAGCAAAGCAATTGGTAGAATGGGATTAAATACATAAAGGATATTTGTGTTGTTTAACATTTAATTCTTGCAGGTTTGCGTCATATTCTGAGTTGCATTTTTTTATTCA